ATCAGCTCATTAGAAATGTGGTGCTGGAGGAGAATTCTACAAATACTGTGGACTGCTAAGAAGATAAATTAATGGGTCTTACAGCAAATCAAGCCTGAGCTTTCCTAGAAGCAAAGATGGCTCAACTCAGGCTGTCATATCTTAAACATATCACGAGATGATGTGGCTCACCAGAAAAATTGATAATGGTTGGTAATGGGAAAGGCAATATGAAAAGGAGACCACATGTTTGAACACATATTGCAGGTGGAATGGTTAAATCAAGGAAGCCATGGCCCCGAGGCAAGCCAGCATAATGCAGTCATTCAAGTGTTGGACTAAGACACAGAGAGATCAGGGTTCAAATCTCCCATCAGCTGTGGAAGCCCTAACTGTTGGATAAAAGATATGACATGGAAGAATAATGACTGAATTTTCCAATATTGTTGGTTTCTTCTACCCACCCCATTTATTTTAAAGCAGGTTTTGTGCAGGAAGAGAAGCTCTAATCCAGGGGTAGGCAACCTTTTTGAGCTGGGGGCCGGGTTGCTGTCCCTCAGACAATTGGGGGGCTGAAGTACCAAAAATAAATAAATAAATACATTTTTAAAAAAAATTAAACAAAATATGCATGCACACTTTCTCAGCCCCAGAAAAGCCATGGCAAAACCCATGTGGAGATTTTGCCAAGAAAATCCCAAGAACAAGTAATAACAACAATAATCAATATCATCATGGTGGGGGGCGGCGGCGGCAGGACTGGCCTGGGGCCGGTCCAAAGGCCTCGGGGGGCTGCATCCGGCCCCCGGGCCTTAGGTTGCTTACCCCTGCTCTAATCCTTATCAAAACAGTGGGGCAGGGGGAGTGATATAGCCCTTTATAGTTTGATTATTCTCATATAAATCCCACCTAATACTGCCAAAAAAGCCACTTTGGAAAAAAGACATGAACTTATATTGCACATATAAAATTTCTATAGACTTTGGGAAGTTAGTTTTAAATGTAATTCAATACAGTTATTGTTTCAAGGCTTCACAGTTAGGTAGTTACCATTATAGAGATTGGTGTTTTTAAATAAATAAATGTGTGTATGTTTATTTTTAAAATATAAAATATAAATTAAAAAATATTTATTTTTATCTCTACATTCAAAAGCATCTCTGTTTACTGGAAGTAAGTAAAATAGTTATTTTAATCTCCTTTTTGAATAAACCATCTCCTTAGTACCCAGAAGAGAAATGAGCCAATAGCATGAGATACAGCTCAGGGCAGCACTTCAACCATGTGGTCTTCTTCTTCCTCTACTTTAGGAGGTGATGCTTCCATAACTGAAAAAGTAACTAAAGTTATAGTTAAACTGCAAACAGAGTGAAATTACCCCTTTGCTTATTGATTGATTGATTGATTTTATATCCTGCCTTTCTCCTAAAATGGAATTCTGCTACACTCATAATGTAGTGTAGTTACCTCAATGTAGTATAGTGTACATAATGTAGTGTAGTAAGGAAGGTTACTGGGGTAATGAATTGATTACAAAGCAACATGTTATTTGTAACTAATTACTTCCAAATTCTACTCTTCCTCTCAAAGGTTATAATAGCAGAATTGAAGGGTTGCATAAAAATTAACTTTCTATTCAGATGGATTATGCAGTGAGGAAGGTGGCAGTTTCTTCATAAAGTACTGAGAAAAAGGCAAATGTCTTGTGATGAGGGGCAGGTGGAAACACTCCTTGTCCCATCACTACTACTCTGATTTTTGAAAAAATATCACAGCCCCCTACTTTCCTGTGGCATTTTAAAGTCAGTAATAAATGTAATCAATAACTTCTCATGTCATCTCCATTTATTGCCCTGAGGTGAGTGATCCTTTCTCTTTACATTTTAACATAGAAACCAGACTTAAATTCTGATTTATGTCATACTTGTGTGGAGATTTTGAGAACAGTACTCTATCACTTTTCCAAGTTTTGAGCTGCCCACATTCTTATTAAAATTAGCACATATTTAAATTCCATAAATTGATCATTGTACACATTGAAATGATAAAATAACAAATAAGGAAATACTACAGATAGCGAGCCAGCGTGGTGTGGTGGTTTGAGTGTTGAGTGTCATGGTTCTATTCCCCACTCAGCTATGGAGACCTACTGAGTGACCTTGGGCAAGTCACACACTCTCATCTCCAGAAAACCCTGGGGATAGGTTCACCTTAGGGTCTCCATAAGTCAAAAATGAGTTGAAGGCATACAACAGGAAAGTAAGGATAGAAAGAATATTCAAACTTTTTAAATTTTTATTTTATTGATTTAATATAAT